TATATATATATATATATATATATACACACACATATATACATATATATATATATATATATATACACATACATATATATACACATATACATACGTACACACACACACACACACACACACACACACACATATACACATACACACATATATACATATACAGATACATACTTAAACACATACATAAACACATACATATACACATATACATAAACATATACATATATATATACACATACACATATACATACACATATGTACATATATACATATAAAATATTTTGTAACATAACCTTCCCGTTTAGGAAACTATTCTTTCTAGTTTTTATATTTATTAAAAGTATAGTTTCCTCAATAGTTTAGGGTGGCCGAAGCTACCAATATCCATCCTGTGGTACTACATTTGGTGGATAAAATTGCTCCCTCCACTCACCAGGAGACAATAAAAATAAAAAAAAGACAAATGAGGTAATTTATAAAAGAGATGTCTTATACACAGTGTAAATTCTACCCATTTGAACATCTTGCACCAAAAACATAAAGGTCCAGATTCAGCTTGAAAATTACAAACATTCACTATTCAAAGTGTTTAGTAACTGGGGACATCACCATACTGCTTGTTTAGTTTTATTAATTACTGTTCAAAACATTTTTGAGTTGTCATTTTAAAAAAGGCTGTCAGTAATAGATCAGTGAAATGAAATTAACAGAAAACATTTAGAAGTAAATCAGTTATAGTTCTTAACATGTGAACAAGCCCACAGACTAAAACTCTAATCTGACTGATCTAATTTATGCTCTCGTTTGTTTTGTCTGCTGATCTCAACTCAGATGCAATCAAAATGGAAAACCTGCCCTGAAACTGCATATAAACATATTTTTAAGCATTGTCAGAGATCTGATGGCAGAGGATCCGACGCACAGCCTCAGAAAGGTTTTTAAAATGTTTATTGAGTAAATAAACAGCTTCTGGTGTCTCAGGTCCAGGAACTGCATCTAAAATGATACAGAGGGGAAAGGTTAGTGTTTGACAGAATAACAAATAGTTATCTGAATACAGACGGTCTGGTGAAACACTAACCTTTCTTGTTGTAACGGGGTGCTCCAGCAGAGATGTAGAGCTGCAGCGACCAAGGGAAGTCCAGAGGCGTAGTCGAGGATGAGCAGAGTTCATACACGGGATCTGAAGAGGAGACCGTACTGAATGGAAAGGCAATGGTGAAATCCAAAAACAGGCGTAGGTCGTCAACAAGGTCAGAAGGCTGAGGCACAAAAGTGACAGGCAAAAAGCGTGGTCGGGGGTAACAGGCGTGGATCAAGATTAAAGAGCTTTGAACAAAGAGTACTGGATAACTGTGGCTGGAAGCAAGCAGTTGATCTGGCAACATAGTGGAGAAAGCAGGAAGTATATATACACACAAAAACTGGTGGAAACCATCAGCAGCAATCAGAGAGAGAGGTGTGGCATGAAAAGAGGCTGGCAGAAGCAGCAGAGGAAAAACCCCAGGAGAGCAGAGAAGGAAAAGTCAAACAGTGATCAGAGTGATGAGAAAAAGGGAAAAACAGAGTGTAGACTGTGGCAGATCCCCCACCCCTTAAGGCGCAGCACCTGACGCACCCCGAGGTTAGTCCGGGTGAAGGCGATGGAAGTCTGATGAGGGACATGTCGATGATGTGACGGGAGGGGACCCAGGAATGTTCTGGGCCGTATCCCTCCCAGTCGACCAGATAATGGACACCTCGGTCCCATCTCCTGGAGCGGAGGAGTCGGCACACAGTGTAGGCGAGTGCCCCATCAATGAGCCGGGCAGGGTGAAAACGGGAGGGTAAAAAGGGCTTGATTTTGGATACATGAAAAGATGGGTGGATTCTCATAGATTTGGGTAGGGATAAATGGACAGAAACTGGATTAATGATTTTGGATATGGGGAAGGGGCCAATAAAACGGGGAGCAAGTTTGCGTGATTCTATTTTTAATGGGAGATCTTTGGTGGAAAGCCATACCTTCTGGCCCTCCTGATAAGTGGGTTGTTGAGACTTCCACCGGTTAGCCCCTTTAATGTAGGCTACGGAGGTCTTCAGGAGGGCTCGTCTGGCTCTCCGCTATATGCGTTGGCAGCGTAAGGCTGACTGGTGAGCAGAGGGTACTTGAGCTTCACGCTCCTGGATGGTGATAAGAGGGGGCTGAAAACCAAAAACCATGTAAAAAGGGGACAGACCGGTAGCAGAGGAAGGGACAGTGTTGAGGCCGTGTTCAACCCAAGAGAGGTTGGGGGACCACTGGCTGGGATCTTTCTGACAGAGGATCATCAGCCTGGCCTCAGCCTCCTGGTTCGCCCTCTCCGTCTGGCCATCAGTCTAGGGATGAAAGCCAGAGGAGAGGCTAATGGAGACCCCCAGGAGGTCACAAAATTATCTCCAGAACTTGGAGACAAACTGAGGTCCTCTGTCGGAAACGATATCTGTGGGCAGACCGTACAGGTGAAAAACTTCACGTGGCATGATCCCAGCCAGGGACTTGGCTGAGGGAAGAGGGACCAGATGAACCATTTTGGAAAAACAGTCAACAACTGTCAGAATGATGGTGTTCCCAGAGTTGGGAAGGATAAACTCCCCAATAGAAGGAGGTGAGGAACAAGAATCCTCCTCCATAATGTGAAAGAGGGCATCAGGTTTAGTGTTTTTGTGACCAGGTCTATAGGTGAGGGCAAAGCTAAAGCAGGGCGTAGGTCGTCAACAAGGTCAGAAGGCTGAGGCACAAAAGGGACAGGCAAAAAGTGTGGTCAAGGGAAACAGGTGTGGATCAAGATTAAAGAGCTGTGAACAAAGAGAGTACGCTGGATAACTGTGGCTGGAAGCAAGCAGTTGATCTGGCAACTGAGAAAGCAGGAAGTATATATACACCCAGAAACAGGTGGAAACCATCAGCAGCAATCAGAGAGAGAGAGAGGTGTGGCATGAAAAGAGGCTGGCAGAAGCAGCAGAGGAAAAACCCCAGGAGAGCAGAGAAGGAAAAGTCAAACAGTGAACAGAGTGATGAGAAAAAGGGAAAAACAGAGTGTATGTAAACTGTGACAGGTATTCTGGTCACTGCGTTGCCACGTTGCACATCTAATCCAACACAGAGTGTCTGAACAGAAAACACAAGAACAAGAATCATTGTTACTTTAGAAACATGCATGCCATAGATTGTTTAAAATTTTTCTAAAACAGACTGAATTAACCCGCTTTATTTTTAGTCTCAGCATCACTCAGAGCCATCTCTGACTACCTGACTGCTCACCACGGTTCAGACTGAATGTTCACCTGCAGCTTTAAGGCATTCTTTAGCAATTCTTTGTATAACTTCTATAAACAGAAGTATAGAAATTTGTTAGTTTATGCTTTTAAATATAATAAAAAGGCATTTATAGCATTTCTTGTTGTTTTATTTCTAATCATATTAATTCTTAAATATGGGGGAGTGGTGGTGCAGAGGTTGGAGAAGGTGGGCCTGTGATTGGAAGGTCGCTGGTTCAACTCTCTGGACTGACGGCATCAAAATGTGTAAAGGTGAAACACCCACACCTGCCTCCACCCTCATTTGTCCCACTCTGGACTCTTGAGCAAGGCCCTTCACCCCCACCATTTGCTCTCCTGGGTGCCCTAGATAGCAGCTCTCTGCCCCACACAAAGGGGTGTGGTAGCTCGGTGGTCTGTGGTTGTGTCAGGAAGGACATCCAGAGTAAAAACACCCACCACAAGTCTTCATAGAGTTAGTTCACCGTGGCGACCCCTGAGGAAAGGAGCAGCCGAAAGACAAAAAATGCTTAAATGTTTGATTGTCATTCAACATATCCTTGAAAAAGCCATAACAAGAAAAAGATGAGCAGTGGTTTCTCATCTCAGAGAAGATTTGTTATCCTCACATCAGTTTCTGCTCCTCAGCATGACGTGCAGCTGCAGGTTAGACTCCTCTTGTTACCACAGACACTAAACAGACAGACATTTATGAGCTTCATTGAATATGTTCAACAGCAAGTATCTCTGATTTCTGTGGATTTACCACCCTTGAGTGCATTTTGTGTGAGTCGCTGTTAAGCAAAGATATGAATAAAATGAAATTAGGAACACAGAGGAGACACGTCCCATCTATCTTCATAGCTTGAGCAAATATGGAAAGCTCTGATGTGAGAGCGCCGGGCCTCGCTCTCCTCCTTCACGTATGTGACAGATGTAAATGGATGTTTCACCAGTTGGCTCTAATGCATTTTTAAACAGGCACAGCAGCAGACAGCAAAAGAACGTGTCGCGACGGCAACACTACCACAAAGTCTCCATCCATCGCTGCCTCCTCCTCCTCACACGCACACATCCCTTCACACTGCAGAGAATAGCTGTCATTCATCAAGTTTCTCAGTACAATAGGCTTGGTAAAAGTCCCATCTTTCAACTAAAGCACCTCCACAGAGCTGAGCGCCGGGCCACGACACAATGTATGTGTGTGTCTGTGTCTGTGTGTAGGTGGAACCTTATCAAAATGGTGACACGCACAAAAAGAGTGTTTCAGCTTGTTAAAGAACTGAACACCCTCAATTCAAACATGATGACATGAGGATAAGAACTTTTCTCCATCAACAGAGTTGAAGGCCCCCTCCACACCACTCAGTGACCTACTCCCTCCAAGACCAGCAGGACCAGTTAGAACTTCCTATTAGAACGTCCTGTTACAACTTCATATTAGAAAACCCTATTAGAACTTCCTACTAGAATACCCTATTAGAACTTCCTATTAGAATACCCTATTAGAACTTCCTATTAGAAAACCCTATTAGAACTTCCTATTAGAACTTCCTAGTAGAACTTCTTTTTAGAAAACCCTATTACAAAACCCTATTAGAACTTCCTATTAGAAATTCCTATTAGAACGCCCCATTAGAACACCCTATTAAAACGTCCTATTAAATCTTCCTATTAGAACTTCCTATTAGAAAACCCTATTACAACTTCCTATGAGAACTTCCTGTTAGAACTTCCTATTAGAACTTCCTATTTGAAAACCTTTTAGAACTTCTTATTAGAACTTGCTATTAGAACTTGCTATTAGAACTTCCTATTAGAACATCCTATTAGAACACCCCATAACAACACCCCATTAGAATGCCCCATTAGAACACCTTATTAAAACTTCCTATTAAATCTTCCTATTTAATCTTCCTGATAACACTTCCTATTAGAACACCGTATTAGAACACCTCATTAGAACTTCCTTTAGAACTTCCTATTAGAACGCCCCATTACAACACCCCATTAGAACACCCTATTAAAACTTCCTATTAGAACTTCCTATTAGAACACCCTATTTGATCTTCCTACTAGAACACCCCATTAGAACTTTCTACTAGAACTTCCTATTAGAACTTACTATTAGAACTTATTATTCAAACGCCCTCTACGGGAGTGGTGGCGCAAAGTTTAAAGAAGGAGAGCTTGTGATCAGATGATCACTGGTTCAACTCCCGGTACCGACAACATCAAAATGTGGGTGGGAAAAGTGAAGCACCCACACGTGTCTCCACCCTCATTTGCCCCACCCTGGGCCTTCAAGCAAGGCCCTTAACCCCACCATCTGCTCCCCCGGGCGCCCTAGAGCAGCTCTCTGCTCCATACAGAGGGCTGTGGTAACTCGGTGGTCTGTGGTTGCATCAGGAAGGGCATCCGGTGTAAAAATAATTGCCAAGTCTTCATTAGACTTAGTTTGTTGTGGCCACCCCTGAACAAGGGAACAGCCAAAAGAAGAAATAATAAATAAATAAATAAATTAGAATACACTATAAGAACATGCCATTAGAACAATACTGTATAGCGGCAGATTTATTAACTCTTCTGTGAAAAGACAATGAATATGTTTTATGCTCTTAATATTCATTTTATAGTTGTTCCTGTTTTTCTTCTGACTCCCTCAGATTCTTTCCTATATGCTCATCATTATATATAAACCAGCAGCCTGTTGCTATGATGACCCTTCCATGTACACCAACTGTTGTACCACAGGACGAGACCCCACCCCTCTCCACCCTCTTTTAGATAGGATGCAGCTACATGCAACCGTTGGTTTTGCCACACATGTACAAAGTTATCACTATAGGCACTAGTTCGGTATGTGTGAGAACAAAGAAGCATGACTTGACTGTTGAAGCTGCATAATGAGGGAATGACAAGATCCTATTGGTCAGCAGTGGTGGAACACAACATGTATAGAAACTCATTGGAATATCTTCTTTGTAGCACTGACAGTGTGGTGTGGGTGTGATGAAGTGCAGCCTAGATCTAAGGCCACCCTATGCAGTCTTGCTTCAAAGTTTTTAGACAAACAAGTCACTGGTGCTGGCAGGCTCCACGTCATTGGTTCTCTGCTGCAGCAATGATAAATCATCACAACCTTGCTTCCGAAGCTTTGTGGATGCTCAAAACCATCATGGACTGATCATATATAACGAGGAGTCCACTGTGCTTTTATTATAGCCTGAAGATCTCACCAAGATCCTGAAAAGACCATCAATGGCCTTGGCATTTTTATTTTTATATTAACGAGGTCGTCATCTGCGGAGAGGAGAAAGGAAGAGTTTGCGCTGGTCCTTATAAGCGATAATAGTGTGTGATGAACAAGTGCTGCCCACAGACAGATTGTAACGGAAGTGTTTAACTGCCTTTTAATGTATCAATGACATGTGCCCAATGATATGTCACACTTCATTGGGCACTTTTAAGTGGGTATACAGAAATTCCCTAGCTTTTCTAGTGGGTAAATGCTGTATACCAGCGTATCAAGACTACACCACTGGTTGTCATCCAGTCGGAAGGGGGCTTAACAGGAAGTACATAGATATTGTTATTTAGACTGAAGAACTGAAACAGGATGGGAGCAAATATTCATTTAGACAAATATGAAGCAGTATTAGGGTTACTAATTGGCCTGATGTGATGACGGTGTTACATTGTTTTGTAATCTTTGCAGTTTTTTTACACTTGATGCAGAGCAAAGAGGGGGATGTGAAACTACCCTCCATACAACCCATAAACCCATATCATTTAGGAAATCATGCTTTTTACTATTTATGTTGCATAAAAGTATAGTTTCCTCAAATGATCGGGGTGGCCCATGGGTTAACTGAAGATTAATCTTTGGGGCCAAGATGACCATTGGCTACCTCTGTCTCTGTCTTTATGCTCAGTGATAAATATAAATTAAACAAATAAATAAATAACTCTTCTTCTACACAGTGTAACTTATACCCACTGGAATATATTGCATAAAAAACATTATGGTTTACTTGCATTCCCTGTTCCACTCCAGTACAGAAAAATACTTATCTAGAAAACTACAAATAAATTCCTCAGCGACTGGGAACATGGACGTATGACTTGTTTACTAAAATGTGAACAGCGGTCCAGTTGGAGGTTGGTCTGGTGTTCCAACCCCAGTACTTTTATCTCTAAACTGCATGTTGCATCATTGTTCGTAACCTCCTCTGTTTTAAATGTACTAGTTTTTCATTTGATAACTACAGATATATTTCACTGGTCTGATATTTTACTTGGGTTTTTTTTTGTCTTAATGGATGTATAGTGCTGCTTTAGGGCTTCCCAGTCATGTTTTCAGATCAAGTTGCTCAATGTTTTCATCTTTACACATTTTATAATCTTGTCCTTTTTTTTGTTTGTGTAGGTGCATTTGTGGTATACTAAGTGGTATAATGTGCATATCCTGAAATGTAAAAAAAGTATTCTGATGAGTTGTTTTTGATCATGGCTGGAGCTTGCTCCAGTTTATATTCAGTAATCTAAGTATTTGAAGTAGAATTACGAGCCAACAGGGAATCAACTCTAGTTCCTTTTCAAACAGCTGCTAACTTTCAGAAAGCTGGACGTAATTATGTAGAAGCAGATTATAATTTTATATCCACACTGTGAAAATCTGTACATTTGCAGGTTTTAAACACCTGAAATTATACATAAAATGAAAAGAAAAAATATATTTTTTTTTTATTGTAGATTAACAACTGTAACTTAATGTAAAACTTTCATTTCATTAATGGGGTGGCTGTGGTTGAGTAGTTAGAGCAGTCATCCTCCAATGCGAGAGTTGGGGGTTCAAATCCACCAGCAGTCACATGCCGAAGTGTCCCTGGGCAAGACACTGAACCTCTCACAGCCTTGTAGTGTAAAGCGCTTTGAGTATCTTGAAATAAGATAGAAAGGTGCTATATAAGTACAGTCCATTTACCATTTAATAAAATATATATTCTTACGTTAAAAACAGATACAATACATGTAATAATGTATAGCATTTTTTATTAACATTTTCAATCTGGAAATGTCCTTGTATCTCCAAAAGCAGACACATCTTTCATGCAAGTTTCCTCACTCTGGCAACAGGAGGGAGCAGCCTAAAAAAACAATATAAATAAAAAAGTGTACATGAGTGAATGATGGATGGGTGGATGGGTGGATGGATGGATAGCTGGATAAATGGATGGATGGATGGATTGATACAGTGGATAGATGGATAGGTAGATTGACAGATCACAGATGGATGGGTAGATGGATGGATGACTGGATGGATGGATGGATGGATGGATGGATGGATAATGCATGGATGGATGGATAGCTGGGTAAATGGATGGGTGGATGGATGGATGACTGGATGGCTGGATGGATAATGCATGGATGGATGGATGGACGGACGGACGGATAGATTTTTAGAACAGGGTTTATTAGATTAGCTTTACTTTAACATCCAGCTGCAGAAATATTACATTATATTATATATGTTTATATTATATTACAGTCTTTGACATTTTTACAGTGCCAGTCTGTGAGAAGAGAGCCAACAAAGGTCTGTAGGTGTTTTCAGAGCAACGTGGCACCAGCTGGACCATGATGTGGGACATAAATCACCTTCGCATGACGTCAATTAGCAGAGTATTAAATAAGACTTTTCTTCCTGGATGACCAATGTTTAGCTCTAATCTCTCCTTTTTGGCTTCACGGCTCTGCTGGAATACGTTTTTATTTGTGAGGATTCCTCCTTCAGTGACCGGCCTTTGTGTCTGTGTTGGTTCCAGAGCAGTTGTTAATAACGCAACATGTTTTTCATGCTCATGGATGAGGTACGACACGGACTGCGGTGTGTGCTTTTCTTCTAATGAATAACGTTTTTCTGCTTCGTGGTTTTTGTGTTCAGCACTCTGCACAGAGATGATGTGTTTTAATGATGACTCCTATAGACAACGTGTCTGACTAACCTTCACTCTAAATAACAACTTTCTGTTTTTCAGGACACAAAGTTATAAATATTGTACACCACCTGTGCTGTATGTTGCTCTGCTTCTTCAACGTGAATGTTCTGGATTCTGTTGGATGTAAACATGTTGCCCATCCAAAAATCTGTCTTCTGTTCATTTCTTTTTACACCCATATTGTTAATTTGAGGAAAATTAAAGGGATATTTCACTAACACCCAAACAATTGAAAATTATTTACCCATTAGATACTAATTCAAACAAATGCACCAATTTAGTTTAGTCATTTCTTGTAAATTACATAAAACTGCTAGAAAAACCATATAATTTTCAGCCTTTTTGTGTGAATTATCTCTTTATCCATTTTAATGCTGCTCTCTGTGTGTGGTCTGACAGTGTGTTCCTCGTGGACACTCAACAGATGTTTTGTTGCTTTTTCTCATTGCAGGTATCCATCAGCACAGTTATAACCATGTGGCTTTAGGTAGCCCCACACGCACACCTAAAAATGGTAAGAAACACAAGAGGGACTCAGCGACTGGCTCTGAACCTCCTCAGAATACACTTTGTTTTACGTGGATGAGTGAAAGCTCCATCGACATGGTCCTCCTTTCCATTTGCTCCATTCTGTTTCTAAAAACGAGGCTGTTTTGTTGAAGATTGAATCATAGACGTGTCACAACCCGTGGGGAGGACAGTTTTTCTGGGAGCAGAATCAAACCGCAGTCAGTTCCCGTTTTTTTCTTCTTAAAAGGGAATTCAGTGCAGAGCATCAACTTAATGTTGTCTGGGTCAGAACATGCTGTAGCTGACACACTGAGTGGAACCAAAAGTTATCATTTGTAGGAGCAACACAGTGAATCTGTTTTATTACTGATGTCACTCAGCTGTCAGTTCAGGATGGTTCTGAAGCCGAGGCCGACTCAGGGTCAGCTGTGGAGGCTGCAGTGAGTGGGGAAAAGAAGTCCACCACTCTTCACTTCTATAATTTTACATATCAGGACTTGGTAAAAGTGCTGTTGTCTTCCCAGGGTTCTAAAATGATTCAAATAAATCCTCAAATGAACAAAAGCTCAACAGATTTCACATCGTCATCAGTTATTAAGCACAAATTAAGCCAAATGGAACAAGCTGTGTGTGAAAAACAGACATTTCAGTGAAATAGACCACACCGTTTTTGCTCTGCCTTTGATTGTTTACAAGGCCCTAATGTAGCCGGCCACGTCCTGCAGGGATGTGAGCTTTCAGAAACAAAAGAGACATCGAGCAGAACTCAGCTGTGTTGACCTTGTGCACAATGTGTTAACTTGTGGTAGATATACATCACATTCAAAATAGGATAAATACTCTTAGTTCTGTTTCTGGTTGATCAGTTATTTAAACTAAATGCAAATTATCTGTGCATCAATGTTAATCTTCCTTTGGCATTAAATTAGTTTGTTGCTTTTTAAGCAACCGGGACATTGTTTCGCTGCAAAACCAAGTGACTTTTTCACATGTCGACAGTTACAGCTCTGTTACTACACTGCTTAATGACACAGATGAGCATCACAAGTGTGTTGGTTTCAAGTTCCTTTGCTGCCTCGAATTGTCCACAAATCACACCGAAATGGCCCAAAAAACATCTACGTCCCAACTTGAAGTGTTTTGTGAAAGTCCCCGTGGTCCACTTTTGGTGCTTTCATACAATTAAAAAAGGAAAGTAGTAACCAGGATCTGTCCGTTTTCTGCTCTGGAGAAAACAATGCCAAGGTGAAAAGACATCAGCAATGACCTAAGAGGAGCCACTGTTGCTGCCCATCAGTCGCAGGGGGGTTAAGTGTAACTTCCAAGAAGTTTTGGGCTCATCGTTCTACAGAGAGAAAGATTATTCATGAGAGGAACACATTTACTGGGATGTCCAGTAAGTTAAATGTCTGTTGGGTAAATGTTCAATCCTTCCCAGGACTGAACGCCTCAGCAAATTTACCCAGAGGTCAGACAGTGCAATTATAAGAGAAATTACACCAACCCCCTCAAATTCCATGTACAACTATGCAGGTCTCACTTGGCAAGGGAAAGGTTAACGTTCAGAGCATGAGACATGAAAGAAACAAATGAACAAGTATGGCTTTTTGCGTTACAAGAAAAAAAGCCTCTTTTCTTTATCAAGAACATGGCAACACAACATAGCAATGTTTCCCCCATTATTCAAGGAGGGCTCCCTGCTCTGTCAACTTTCATCTGAATGAATTACAAATATTTTTGGATCAATGGCCACTGTACAGAAGGAGCCAAAGTAGAGACATTTACCCATAATGCACAGCACCATGTTTGGTGAAAATCAAACACTGCACATTAGTAAAAAAACAACTCAACAACAGCACCTTGGAGTCACTGAGTCTGCCATGAACTCCTCTGTAGGCCAAAGGATAAATCCATCCATCCATTACCTTCCTCTTGTTCTGAAGTCAGGTCTCGGGGGCAGCAGCTTGAGCAGAGAAGTCCAGACATCTCTTTCCACAGCCACCTCTTCCAGCTCTTCTGGGAGGATCCCAAAGCGTTCCCAGACCAACTGAGAGACATAGTCTTTTCAGAGTGTCCTGGGTCTTCCCTGGGGTCTCCTCCCAGTCAGTCATGCCCAAAGAACCTCCCTAGGGAGGCGCCCAGGCAGAATCCTTACCAGATGAACGAACCAACTCAACTGGCTCCTCTGGACATGGAGGAGCAGCGGTTCTACGCCAAATCTCTCCTGATAACTTACCTTCTCACCCTGTCTCTAAGGGCGAGTCCAGCTACCCTGCAGAGGAAACTCATTTCAACCACGATCTCATTCTTTCTGTCACTGCCCAGAGTTCATGGCCATAGGTGAGAGTAGGAACCAAAGGATTCTCCAGTTAAATGTGAGACCATCTGTCTGAAATCTTGTTGGGTTATGATGCAACAGAACAAAGATCCCAAACCCAGCAGCTAATCTACAACAAACTGCTGAGAGGTAAGGTTGGTCCAGTCAGAGTCCAGACCTCAACCTCACTGATATGCAGCAGTGGGACCCTCAGAGAGCCCAATGTAAATTTAAGTCTACATACAGGTATGTCAATGAATTAAAGCAACACTGGAAAGAAGAGTGGGCCAAACCTTCACTTCAACCAAGTAAGAGACAAAACCAGTCGTACAGAAAACAACTCAGAGTTGGAGGAGGAGCTACACGTTGCTCATGTGTTGAACTCAGTTTTTCACACACAAATTTGTTCGTTTTTATTGGTTTTTGTTTGTTTAATAAATATATGAATTTTAGTGCACTTGAGGTTGAATTTAAATATTTTAAGAATCTGGTAATAAAATGAAAAACAATATATTTATGTCCTGATACGATAAAAGAAAAATAACAACTAAGAACTGGAAATGGCTAGCCGTTCTTTTTCCCCACGACTGTATTTCATTCTGTCTGCATTTACCAAATCACACTTAGATTGATTAATTTTACATTTGTTTCATTCACAAACATTAAAAAAAGACTTTCAGTCACTTGGGAGCCGTACATGAGTTCTGCAGCCAGATTGGCTTCTCTTCATGGACATAAATGACCATATGGTGTAGACCCACTCACTCAGATAAGCAGGCCACATGCTGGGAACAAATGCCTGGAGATCAGTGGAGAACATGAAAAATCCATTTCAACAACATATCAAACACCGGGCAATTGATCACGTCAGCCTGAAATCCTTCAAATGTTAGCGTGCCGTGCATTTCCCAGATAAAGCCAAATATTCCAGCCCTCCCAGTGCCTTGCTCCTGAAGATACAGCTCCGTATCACAAGCAGAAAATGAGCCGTCGCACAGACTAGTAGAGAATTAAAATCTGAATTCATGAGAATAATTGTTTGTCTCCGCAGAACGGGCTGACTGTGGAGGTTTGTGTTTTCTTTTCTTTCTCTCCATCAACGTTTCTGAAATGTTGTTTTTTTCATTTGGGTTTGGTAGCTCACCGGTCATTGAGGCGTGGTAAGTCACACATGTTTGATTTCATCACAAGTCCTGACTCATAATCCCACCAACCAACCCTCACGTCTGTCTTCGGGTCTTCCACCTAAACTTTTTTCTTTTCAGACCTGATTTAAGTAGAAGCTCTGCTCTGATGAGAAACTTGTAGGTTTTGTGTTGTAAGCTAAACAAAATTTAAGACGATGTTGAAGATATTACATGATTGCTAATGTCACACGAAGTTGGCGTGGTAACGCCTGATTTGTGCTCTATATATTTTATTGTCAACAAAACCCACAACAGATTCTTTGTTGGCTGTGGAGTGGCTTTCAAAATAATTCTTTATTTCATTTTGAACAGTTAAAAATTTCAACAAAACCATAAACAAATAAAAATGAAAATATTTCCACCAAATTATTCTGGAAACAAAACAAAAATGTTTGAAAATGAAAAGGGAGCAGGAAGAAGCAATGGCTTATCCAGTCCTGTCCCTAAATTTACATACAAATTCTGAACCAAACCATTTTCGTAAAAAGATTAGGAACACAAAAACACAAAGTATAGACCGAAAAAAAGTGTAGGTAGAAGCACATACTTATTATACCTTCACTTTGTTATACATAAAAATCAACGCAGCAGAATTTTGTATATAATTTTCTAAAACGTATCAAAGCTTTCAAAATAAAAGCACCCCAAGACCAAAAATAAGGTTTATGTGCAACTTTCGTTTAGACGTGATAAAAAGTTTGAGACTAGCATTCTTTTATTTGGACTTTAATACAGAAGTAAGAGCACGTCAGTCTGTTATAATCAGAATACTTGTCTGCAAAGTTATGAACAGTTAATATCTTACCTAGTGTAGATGTTTGATTTACCTAAATTTTGAGGCATCATACGAACACTATTGTAGAACATTTACAGGATTCTCATTTTCACATTTTGTAGTTTAATAAGTGATCTGTTATTATTAGCAAGTGAGAAGAACAGCAGGGAGAAGTTGTGCCACTTCCTGTGTAACATGATGCACTTCCTGCAGGGATATCATAATATTGTCACTGGAATAACACAAAACTGGTATTGGTGCAAAATGCTGTATAATATCATTCACATGAATGGCTATAAACAATTCAAAAAAGCAGAAAAAAACTTGGGTCTTGGCTCATTCAGACAGTGGTGGAGAAAGTACTCAAACACTGTACTTAAGTAAAAGTACATATAAACAGACAAAAATGTACTCTAGTAAAAGTAGAAGTACCACATTAACATTTTTACTTAAGTAAAAGTAAATAAGTACTTGCTTTTAAAATACTTAAAGTATTAAAAGTAAAAGTACTTGCTGAATGTATTACCTAATGTAATGGTCTACATATCTTTAAGTCTGCCTACCGTATGTATATTTTCTGTAATACATTAATAGTGTTGATCCATTTTAATGAACAATGCTGCAGATAATACATGCATTCAACCTTTATTTAGACAGGTAAATCCCATACATGTTTTTATTGTGTTTACTCTGTGACACAGTTCACACATGGACTTGTGATTCTG